TTTGGAGATAGAGTCTCTGTCGCCCAGGCTGGAGTGCAGTGGCACTATCTCGGCTCACTGCAAGCTCCGCCTCCCGGGTTCACGCCCTTCTCCTGCCTCAGCCTCCCGAGTACCTGGGACTACAGGCACCCGCCACCTTGCCCGGCTAATTTTTTGTATTTTTAGTAGAGGCAGGGTTTCACCGTGTTAGCCAGGATGGCCTGGATCTCTTTACCTCGTGATCCGCCCACCTAGGCCTCCCAAAGTGCTGGGATTACAGGCGTGAGCCACCATGCCCGGCAATTACTATTGAGTCTTAAGAGTTGTTTCTATATTCCAGATACAAGTTCTTTGTCAGATATATGGTTTGAAAATAATCTTGCTCTGTTGTAATTTGTCTTTTCAACCATCCTCTTCACAGGGTGTTCCACAAAGTGAAAGTTTAAAATTTTGAGTAAGTCCAAGTTATTGATTCTCTTTCTTTTCTAGGCTGTTCTTTTGTATCTAAGACCTCTTCACCAAGCACTCGATCTGAATGTTTTTTCCTATGCTTTCTTCTAGAAATTTTATAGTTTTACATTTTTTTAAATATGTAATCCTTTGAAAATAATTTTCTTTAGAGATGGGGTCTTGCTGTGTTGCCCAAACTGGAGTGCAGTGGCACAATCATAGCTCATTGTAACCTCAAACTCCTGGGCTCAAGCGATCTTCCCAAATCAGCCTCTCGAGTAGCTGGGAACTAGAGGCACTTGTCGCCACACCCAGCTAATGTATTTTATTTTTGTAGAGATGGGATCTTGCTATGTTGCCCAGGCTGGTCTGGAACTCCTGGGCTCAAATGATCCTCCCCTCTCAGCATCCTGAGTCACTGGGATTACAGGTGTGAGCCACCATGACTGGCTGTTATGATCCATTGTAAGTAAATATTTGTGAAAGGTGTGAGGTTTAGGTTTAGATTTTTGTTTGTTTTGTTTTTTGCCTGTAGATGTTCAATTGCTGCAGCATCATGTGTTGAAAAGGACCTTTCTTCCAATGAATTGCTTTTGCACCTCTGTCAAAAATCAGTTGGCTGTACTCCTATGAGGCTATTTCTGAGTTCCCTATTCTGTTCCATTGATTGATGTACCTGTCTGTCCAAGAACACACAAACTCAATTACTACTACCGTATAATAAGCCTTAAAATCTGATAAAATAATTCTTCCAACTTTATCCTTTTTCAATTTTGTTTTAGCTATTCTTATTCTTTTGCAGATTTCTCTTTAGGCAAGGTATAGACAGAATAGTCTGGTCTATATCTACAAAAAAAATCTTGCTGGGATTTTGACATAAATGAATATGTCAATTTGAGGAGAATTAACATCTGCTATTTGAGTCTTACAAGATAGGAAGATGGTGTGTCTCTTCATTTATTTAGCTCTTATTTCTTTTATCAATATTCTATAGTTTTCAGCATATAATTTCTGTACATAGTTTGTTAGATGTACACTTAAGTGTTTTATTTTCTTGGAGTGACTTTGAATGGTATTATATTTTTAATTTCAGAGTGCACATGTTCATTGCTATTATATAGAAATATAATTGATTTGTGTATGTTTACCTTGTATCCTGTGACCTTACTGAACCTACTTATTAGTTTTACGTGTTTTGCCTTTGCTTTTGTTTTGTTTTGTTTGTAGATTTCTTAGAATTTTCTACATAAACCATGATGACATCTTCAACACCATTTTATTCCTTCCTGTCTAATCTGCATGCCTTTCATTTAATTTTCTTGCCTTAATGCAATGGGTAGAAATACTCAGAACTAAAAGGAACAAATTATTGATACACATAGTGTGGATGGATCTCAAGAGCTTAATGCTGCTTAGCTGGGCACGGTGCTCAGGCCTGTAATCCCAGCACTTTGTGAGGTTGAGGCGGGAAGATCACTTGAGCTCAGAAATTCGAGACCAGCCTGGGTGACATGGCGAAAACCCATCTCTACAAAAAATAAAAAATTAGCCGCACGTGGTGGCACACATTTGTAGTCCCAGCTACTGGGGAGGCTGAGGTGGGAGGATCGCTTGAGCCCAGGAGGCAGAGGTTATGGTGAGCTAAGATCACACCACTGCACTCCAGCCTGGGCAACAGAGCCAGACCCTGTCTCAAAAAAAAAAGAGCATAATGCTGAGCCAAAAAAAAACAAAAAAAAGGCCAATCACGAACTCTCACATATGATTCTATTTATTCAACAATGTCAAATGACAAAACTATAGAGATGGGAAAACAGGTTAGTGGTTGCCAAGGGTTAAGCATGGTGACAGTGCGTGGGGACAGGGAGGAAGGCTGGTATGACTTTAAAGGAGCAACAGGAGGCAGATCTTCGTGGTGATGGAACAGTTCTGCAGCTTGATCATGATGCTGGTTACATCTGCACATGATGAAATGGCATGGAAGTATACACATATATTGTACCAATATCAGTTTCCTGGTTTTCATATTGCATTACAGTTATATAAAATCTAAGCATTGGAGGAATCTGGGTGAAG